GACCCTTTTCTGAGTGGTTGACAGTGGTAGCTGGGCACTATCTAGTTCTTCTGGTCTCATGGTCACATAGGCTGAGGTTCACATGGTCCACTAGTCCCTTGGACTAATTGTTTCCATGTGCCTTTGGTTTTCTTCATTCTTCTTTGCTCTGGATGAGGAGAGACCAATTGGTGCATCTCGATGGCCACTTGCAAGCTTTTAAGAGCCCAGTCGCTACTCACCAAACTAGGATGTAGAACAATGTTTTTGTGCAGTAGTTATGCCAGTTGAGCTTGATGCCCCCCACAACCATGTGGACCAAGGCCCTTTTGAAATGTGCTGTGCAGAGCCTCTCACTTTGCTTGCTGCCAGTGAAGCTAGTGCACCAAGCTTTGGGATTTGTTTTGTTAATTAATTACTGCAAGGAAATAGAGAGGAGTGTCCCCCTAGAGACCAGCTGGATCAGTCATCCTGTGACATGAGGCTCCAGGCCTTTCTGTTATTGCTACTTGTGATCACTATGAGGCTTTTAGCAGCTGGGCCAGACTGAAGGGAGAAATTACTGAAAGGTGCTGCTTACTGGCTGTGGAACCTGAGCCAGGCACTTAACTTCTCTGACCCTCTGCCCTTTTCTGTAAAATGGAGATAATGTAGCACCTACCTTCTCTGGTGGCATAGTAAGCATTTGGCTGCAAACCAGAAGGTTGTGGTTTAAACCCACCGGCTGCTCTGCAGGAGGAAGATAAGGCAATCTACTGCCATAAAGATTTACAGCCTTGGAAACCCAATGGGGGTCACTATGAGTCAGAATTGACTCAATGGCAGTGGGTTTTTTTTCCCAGGGCTATTGTGAGAATCAAGATCAGGATGCAGAACAAGAGGACACTGCATGGTTTAAAGTCAGGAAGGGAGTGCATTAGGACTGTATCCTTTCACCCTACTTATTCTCCCTGATTGCTGAGCAAATGATCTGAGAAGGTGAAATACATGAAGAACGTGGTATCAGGATTAGAGGAAGACTCATTAACAACTTGAGATACGCAGACAACACAACTTTGCTTGCTGAAAGTGAGGATGACTTGAAGCACTTACTGATGAAGATTAAAGACTACAGTCTGCAGTGTGGATTACATTTCAACATAAAGAAAATGAAAATCCTCACAACTGGACCACTAAGCAACATCATGATAGATGGAGAGAAGATTGAAGTTGTCAGGGATTTCATTTTACTTGGATCCATAATCAATGCTATGGAAGGCAAAAGACTTCTTAAAGTGTTGAAGAGCAAAGATGTCACTTTGAAGACTAAGG